AACGTACAAATGTATACTTGGACGTCACACAAATTAGCAAAGGACTCATTAACAGATGAGTTTCTAATATCAGCGTGACGTACGACTGGTTCGAAAATTGACATTTCGTCTAGAAGAGCGCAAACGGCATCAGAGATTTATGACGAATTAGATAGCATCTTTATCCCCGACCGAAAAGTCAATCAAGAAGTCCATGGTAGGACAAACGTAAAAATGAATACTCAAACGTCTCAGAAATTAACAAACTACTCGCTGCTACCATCGCGAGGAATGACTGGTCCATTACCCTACTATCACACCAAACTAGTTCTTACTACGTTCTCAAAAACGGGCTTCAACTGTGTACGAACGGACTGGACCTACTAAGAACCGTTTGAGATCTATTAACAAACTTCATCGAACGTACTCGAACGGGTAGGTCCTCTAGAACTTAGACAATGCTCAAAATGTTCTCGTGGTCGTCACGTTCTACAATTAGAACGAGTGACAACGTACTAACGACGAGCTGGACGTACTACGAACGGAACCGTCGTACTTCAATCCTACTAGGGACGTTTTAAAAACGAGTTGAATTGTCTGAGGACGTGTTGAGAACGAGGTAGAACTAATTGCAAACGGGTTTAAACTGATTGAGAACGTATTTAACACTGCTTATGAACGAGTTAGCAAAAATATAGCTATCACACCAAACAAGTTGCCACTGCGTTCTTCAAAACTGTGTGCGAACGGAATGGACGTAGCTGCAACTTTCTAAGGTCTATTTACGAACTTTATGATCGTTCTCAGACGGGAATGTGATTTTAGAATTTTGAATCGATTCAAAATTCGATGGCGACCATAACGTTCTGTAATAAGGTCATGTTGACCTTCTAGACTAAGGGACGCGTTCCACTACGTTGCACACCGACGTGGTGCGACCTGAACGAACTGCGAACGAGAAGGACGTATTGAAGACTATTTAAGAACGAAGAAGCTAATTATTTCAGACATATTTCCCGACCACAGCCAGATTGAGCCCGTTTTACGACGTTTTCGTAGGACTGGCAAGAACGGGTAAGAACGAGTTTGGTGTGATAGGGGGGTAAGATATTGAATATCTAATGGAATGGAAACATCAATCAACAAGCCCTAGGTAGAGCACATTTAAAAATCTCAAAAGTCTCACAAATTAGCAAACAGCATGGTGCTACCGGCGATACGCACGACTGTTCAGAAGCAAACTGCATATTTTATTATCGAATTTAAACCCATTTTTGGTCGAGTTTCTAAATAATCGTATACATGCAGTTAGGGCAAAAAATTCTCAGTATACATTTGGAACCAAGAAGCGATAAAATCACATTTTTAGTTTCTCACTATTGATGCAAAAACACCACACCAAAGCTGCAAAAACTCTGATCTATGTTACAGTATGTCCAATGAGGCAAAACACCAATTTATGGCAGATTGTTGAACGATATCATGAGCGTTCATAGACTATTAATTATATTCTAATTTAAGAAGACCATAAATCCCGGGAAGAACAATGTTATAAATGATATAGTACAAACTGGGGCATCTGAGCCAACAGAGATCATTCAACAATCATGGCCCAGAGAACCAAATCGTTAATTGAGTCCAACGTTGGACCTCATGGGACGCAAGATGGGGCAAAGTCCGAAGGACATGGTGCGAAAACCTGTGAAATCCGCGAGGTCCCACATAATGTTAAGTCTGTAGAGGTCCCACCGAGGCCAATTGGGGCAAAATCCGACTTGCCCAATTGAATCCCATTGAATCCAACCATGCCCAATCGAGTCCCACATTGGAGCAAAATCCCACTTGCCCTAAGTAGTCTCGCGGAATTCCACCGTGTCGCCCTATTTATGCCCTGATTACATTTTGTTCAAAATTGAATGCAATATTGAACAGAACACTCAACAATCGGGCGGGCGCCGGCTGATGGATTGGAGCAAATGTGACCAAGGCATAAGGCTAAGTCAAATGACACGTCACATGAACAAAAGTCCCAAAAGTCCCATGGACAGAATGAACAGAATATGGAACTTTGCTCCATCTTGCCCCATCGAGTCACATGTGGGACCTCATGAGACTCGATGAGACACAATTGGGGATAGTCCGACGATGTCCCATGTGGTCCATGGGTCAAAATTACATGAAGTCCAACGAGGTCCCATGTAATTTTAAGTCTATGGAGGTCCCGTCCCATCGTGTCCCTTTGGTGTATGATGGGTTTAGGGAACCAATGAGGATTATTTGAAAAAGCACTGGAAAAAAATTGAAATCCAAAAGTCCCCTATTTGCGTTCTTCTCGAGTGATTGGATGAACGTCAAGTGGGCAAAGCTGCTTTTTAAGTTTTAGAATTCATACTAAATGTCCAGAAAGTAATAAACTAATCTGTTTCCATGAATCACTGTTCCACTGAGCTGGATGGCACTGACTTCTGTAGTATTCAAAATGGTGGACAAAATGCTTTAAATTTCGGTAAACCTGACGCGATATTGGAGAATATCTGTCGTCCATCTTATCTCAAGTGAATAAATACACTTTACAGTTGTTTATCAAAATATGGCAAGAATAGTTCAACTGTAACACCCGTGAGCTAATCGGAGAACATTTCAAAAAGATTATTGATGGGATCATTGCGGATCATTGTGGTTTTGACATACGAACTCTGGAAACGGCCAATGTAGGTTGTAACGTGTTCTTTAGAGTATAGCTCCCTCATTCGTTGGACTTCAGTTCGCGTACAAAGTCAGATCGGAATTTTGAATTGAATAAGTTGAAATTGAATTTATTGTATAGTCAAGTCAAGTCAAGTCGAGGTTTTGATCCTTATTTGTTGAAAATCGAGCGGATTATTTTAACCAACAATTATCAGTGTCATTTGAATGTAAGATTGACGCCCACCCCCTCTGTTTTTTGCTTGGCCTGTTTTGCAAATGTTTCATGCCCCCGTTTCGTCTTACTTGACAATTGACACTTGACAACAGACAATAGACTAGATGCGAGTATAAATAATCTTGATTTACGTCATTAAATGTTCAAAATTCAGTCAAAGTGATGTCATATTTTAAATCTGCATGTAAAAGTACATCTAGAAATATGGTTTCAAAAATTGTTTATCAACTTTGAAAATTTAATTTTTTTGAAAATGTGACTTCTTGTTCGGGTTGATTCCCCATACACCCCATGTTACAAAACCAAAAAAAATGAATCATCTTTTCTTGTATTGGACAGATAACATTTTCTTTTACTGGACGTACTTCAATTTACACAACTATTAGATACACAAGGGTTATGTGAAAATTGAACCACGCAAATAGATGTAATTTAAGTTAAAGGGAACTTTCTACTATACCCGCCATGCTATCTGACCCGAACGAGCCACCTGGTGGTGAATCTGGTAACTACCTACTCGCATCTGCGTTATTGCAAGTGACACATTTGGCATAAAAATCAATGTGATTTGGGATATAGGGGCGAAGTTACGATGGTCGGAATTTGTTGTCAACAAAAATGAAATCTATAAAATATTGATAAGGTCCATGTGCAATATGACAAGTGATTTTAGATGGTCATATCTTTCACCATGAGTACTTTCTGGGCATTAACACAGTGGTTTTTATTAAAACAGTATGTTTTCTTTCAAGTGAAGTCCCCATGATGATAAAAATATCAATCAAAAATGCCCAGAAATAACTCTGATCATTTGTTCTTATATTGTGCTTAGGCACCACAGTCCAACAACATCTTGCACCGTCCCTTAAGCAGTGGAAGATATCGTTGAATTGCAACACTCACACGAACGATACATGAACAAATTATCATACTCCAGAGTTCCCACGTCATAGTATAAGGCTGATTTGCTTGAAATATAAAAGCATAACGCCAACTGTATTTAGTACTTTAATTCGATGAAAACTAAAAATATCGAAATCGACAATTAGCATCCGCCATCGTTGATGTGAGAGTTACATAAGTTATATAAATAAATAAAATAAAAAAAGTACGTTCTTTTTCTATGTTTTTGATGAATGCACAGTTGGCAAGCTATCAACAACCAAAGTGGCACAAAAGACGTATCAATAGTTGAAAAGGCAAATCAAAAGAAATCAACCTTTACAGCTGAATAGTCCAGTGTAAGTTAAACTGTATCATGTGTCATTTGAAATTCATCAGAGTCGATGTTTTACTCAAGCAATTTATTTGAAGCGTTGGCAAACATGTATTGAGGAAAGAAGCTTTGCAATTAAGTCTGTTGATGGCGCAGCTTGTAGATTTTCTTTTAACATTGGAATATTTTAGACACCCTCTTTAAGGTTGCTCAGTAGCCATATGTTCCTGGTTTGTTTGTATTTTCATTTTTACAAATACATAGTATGAGGCCTAATAAATGAACAATACTGAATATAATTTGTTGTTGTTTATTTATTCAATATCATGCATTAATATTTTTATGATGAAATATTTGATTGGTATTGTACAAAATCTTGGCAAATGAATGAATATAATTTCTCTGTCTTTGAAATATATTTCCTTTTGGCTTCTTTTCTCATAAAAAAGTAAAAAATGAACTGTTACTTAATATATTGAAAATAATTTGTATGTTCAAATCAAAATCAATTAATGTATAGCACTACTTTTAATTTTTAGTCTGGAAACGTGTAACAGTTCAATGGTATATATGCACATGAACTTTTGATGACTAATGCCTTGGTCACATTTGCCCAGATTTTCACTACGGCGCCCGGCCGATTGTGTATTTTGTTGAAAAATTGAATACAATATTGAAAAAACACTCAATCGGTTGGGCGCCGGCCGATGGATCGGAGCATATGTGACCAAGTGGGACATAGTCCTTATTACAAGAAATTCAATAAATACAGGTAAAATTACAGTAACACTCTCGACTCACTTTTCTTCTAAAATTTTCTGAGTAGTGCACAACTATAGCATTATAAGTTTATAACCTCCATTGAAGTTTCAGTGATTTAGACCAAAATTAGTTGAGTCTGGTATGCTGAAAGTAATGACATTTTTCAATTTGTATTGATGTATACATCTGAAATACTCCCAACCAACCTTGCTCTAACTCACCAACAATTTCCATTCAATAATTAAAACTTTCGATTGTTTTAACGTGCCTTAGAACATAGCTCAACATTTAATTACAATTTTTATCAGTACTAATGGACTTCGTGCATACATGTTTCTTTAACATTGCGATTATGTTATTTTTCCAGTAAAATACTAAATATAGGCAAATGCCTACTACCTAGTATTCTTTTTACAATAGATTATATATTTATTTATGTACATTAACTGAATTTTGAAAATGTCATCAATAATAATGTCCTTTTGTAATAGTGTAATTATGTAGCCAGTACATATAATTAAATGTTATTATTCAATCGATCTCCTTGAGCAGAAGATCGTTCTACCTTATCTATTGAACTATATACAAGGGATAGATTCAACACTGAACATTTTCCCGCGTTCTCTTTACGATGTCATAGTATAAGTTATTTCAGGTATTTATTTGAGGTCCGTCTTTATTGTAGCTATATCCATTATTCATGCCATGTTGTTTTGTGGGTGTTTATGAATGACACATTCTTTCTTGTGGTTCCTTCGTACTTGCTGGTTTGGGTCCGCTCGGTTTACCACACTAAGATGAATAAATATGTTATTTGTTTAAAACGCTCTTTATATAATCGTTTATGTTTTATTTTCTAATGAATTAGTTAATTAGAAAGCAATTAATACACTGACATATTGTGAAACCCAAAGACAGGAGTATGGGCCTCTATATATCATATTTTTACTTGTGCGATTTAGAACAACGGTAACTAGGGAGGGGGGGGGGGGGGGTGTAGTAAAATGTCACAAACACGTTCACAAATTCTCATTAAAAAATAGTAGCTTAACCTTCCTTATAATCTATGACACTTACAATCTTATGATGATCCCAAGTACCACAATCATCAGGATGCTTCCTATAACAGACGCTGCTATAATTGTCACTATAAAAGAAATGAACATTTATGAAGACAAGGGAAGGTGGTCACAGGAAAATAATTCCTTAGCATTCTAAACCACAATATATCGTAAAAATAGACATATGAAATCAATAAAAATCAGACTTTTAGGAATATGTTTTTTCACAACCGTATGACTTCACTAAATATTTAATTACGTGTTTTGTTCGGGATCCTTCAATCTTTGGACGAAGTAACAAACATGCATATTTTCTCTGAAATGCACATGCACACCATTGGATTCAAATATCACACTGGTCGCAATTATTCTAAAGGGTTTATGTCAAAATATCAACAGCTGTGGAAAACTGTGTTCATTTTAAAAGGAGAAAACTGGAATCTTCACGAAGAAATTGCCACGTCATTTTTTTGTACACGAATACACAAGTCATCAATAATTGCTGTGACGTAATAGTTTTTGTTGTACTTTTTTAAAACACTACCAGTGTGACATTTTATCCGTAGTTAAACCATACCTCTGTCGCCAAACATCAACTCAAGTGTGCTTTTAGCATGTGGTTTTACTGTTGTAGTTCCATCACCGATGACAACAGAGGTGTTCCTTGCACTACTTGGCCCAGTAAATGACAGATCTGGATGATTAGGTCTGACCTTGTGCACCTTGGGATTTGACTTAATGTTAGCTTTCAATAGATTGTCATCATTATGCTTAACATTTAAATCATTTAGCTTCTTTAATTTTGATTTTGATTTAGGTGATACGCTAGGGTGAACATGCATTGGTTTAGTAGGTCTTGCTTTGTTAGTAGGTTTCCTTAGCCACGTCCTATACAAAGGAACTGTTGAAGGTTGTACCTTTAACCATTTTCCCTTTGGACCAAAACCCATACCACCAACACCATGTAAAGAATGTTTAGAGCTAATATCAATCCAATTTCGTGGATAAAATGGGGGTACTGTTGCTGTTGTACTCTCTGTTTTCCAAGTAGAAGGATGCCCCATGCGGTTATTAGAGTAAGTTTTAAGGTTTGCTTTTTGATGTGGGTGCTTGGTGATGCCTTCGTGCGCCCTTGGGTTGCTACCTGTCAGTGATTCCTGCCTGTTTTCACCTGGGTTCTGTCCAGTTATTGGATCTGAAAAGAAATCCTGTACATTTATCATTGGTAAGTAAGGAAATCAAAAAATATAGGAACCATGTCCCAACAAAAACATGATCGAATCAAATTATATCTTACTTAACTGCAGCCATTTCATTTGATTTATAGTTACTATGTCACCACTTAGAAAAAGTGAAACGTTGACCGTAATTCAGTGTCTAAACGTTACATGTTTGCAATCTTTGCAATGCAATTTGAAAACTACGCTGTTTTGGCCTGATTAAAAGTCACATCCTCCTGAAGGTAGCAGCGCATATTAAGAATTTAGCATTCTGTACCTTGCTCAAACTGACCACTGTAATTCTTAGACTTCTTATTAGACTCTCTGTCTTCTATCTCCGCAATCTCATTGGTTAACTCCTCTTTCAATTCCAATTCGTTTATCTCATCTACAATGATATAGAAATTACTGTTAAAATCGCATGCATAATAGTACACACTATATTTTGGGTTTTATATGTATTTGCGTTAGACGGGTAGGAAGGAGGGGTTCCCATGCACCCGAAAGATGTATTTTTTTAATGTACATTTTTGTAATCCTAAAGGTCCATACTAAAGATTTTTGCATGTTCCCAGAATGAAATATTGTCCCATGGTATCCATTGGCGGCCATCTTGTCGGCCATCTTGAATTTTTGAAAGAGTCAATGTTAATTATCTCAAAGTACAATAACTTCCACAGTTTTGAGAATTGAAAGCTGTAAGTGGTACCAAAATAAAGCTATTATAGTATCCCATATTATAAGATGTAATAATTATGCAAATAGTCCCATTTGCATGAAATGTGACATCATTAATCTTAATTTTTGCCTCTTTACAACAGTATCGCACAATACCTTGCTCCCTGGGTGACCAGTCTTAGTCATCCAAGAACATAAATGAATTTTAATACATAGGTACATTAATTTTGAACATATTTGCAATTGAAAGTTTTGGAAAAATATTGTCAGACACTAAGTAAAAACACTTCACATGAGTATGTTACTGAAAAGGGGCGTGGCACTTTTTGAGAAAGAGTTGATTTTAATCATTTCAAAGTACAATAACTTCCAAAGTTTTGAGAATTGAAAGCTGTAAGTAGTACCAAAATGGAGCTAATGTAATATACTTATGAAAAATACAATAATTATGCAAATTTTCCCTTTTGCATAATATGTGACAACCTCTGTCATTTTTGGCTTTTTTCAATGGAAACGACCAATATATCTCCCTCTGGGTAACAGTCTTGGTTATTCATGAGCATTTATGATTTTGAATATATAGGTATATTAATTTTGAACATATTTGCAAATGAAATTTTGGAAAAACTTTGTAAGAAATTAAGTCTTGACACTTCACACGATTATGTAACTGAAAAGGGGGGGGGGAGGTTGGCACTTCTTGTTCAAAATGTTAACTTCTAAACATTAATGTCAACTTCAAAGGCTGAAGCTGCTCTAGCAGAGTCATGTAGATAGAGCCCAATGTTGCTTATTGGTGAAATGTTGGCCAAATTTTGCAGCTTGTGTGCACTGCTTACAAGTATATGAAGTGTTCATTATGATAGTATAATTCCAATATGACAGCACAATACAAGTCAGGCTATTTTATTGTCACATATGCAAAAGTCGATCTGATGAGACATGTTAGAAGTGGTAGTGGTTAATAATGCCCAGTTCAAGGAAACGCAAGATAGATATTGAAGATAGGCCCAGATCAAAGTGTGGGCATCCTCAGCTTCAATCATGACAACATCTGTAGTGTCCATCAGTGGGAGCTGTAACCCAAATACTGAGTATATGATTTAATGTATGTGTCATTCAGTTGCCATGCACTTGGGGCAGTTAGCGGTTTCTTCCTTGCCCCAAAGTCTGAGGTTTGATGGAGTTGAGACCAGGTCAGGGAAAGCTCTTAATAGGAAATTGAGCTCTCCTTGGTTCATGGACCAAAGGTCATTCCATTTCAAGAAGTGCTGAAGAGGGTTCCCAGGTAATGTTGTAAATCTGGAAAGGCCACTGAAATTGGGGAGTCATGTCATAACGCCCCAATATATGACTTGAGTCAATGGCTTTAAACCACTTGTCCAGGTCCCTTGAGACTTCAGCTGTATTGTTCAAACCACTCAAGGTTTTGTCATATTTCTTCTCTAGACATTTAACAACCTCTATCATTTTTGGCTTTTTTCAATGGAAACGACCAATATATCTCCCTCTGGGTAACAGTCTTGGTTATTCATGAGCATTTATGATTTTGAATATATAGGTATATTAATTTTGAACATATTTGCAAATGAAATTTTGGAAAAACTTTGTAAGAAATTAAGTCTTGACACTTCACACGATTATGTAACTGAAAAGGGGGGGGGGAGGTTGGCACTTCTTGTTCAAAATGTTAACTTCTAAACATTAATGTCAACTTCAAAGGCTGAAGCTGCTCTAGCAGAGTCATGTAGATAGAGCCCAATGTTGCTTATTGGTGAAATGTTGGCCAAATTTTGCAGCTTGTGTGCACTGCTTACAAGTATATGAAGTGTTCATTATGATAGTATAATTCCAATATGACAGCACAATACAAGTCAGGCTATTTTATTGTCACATATGCAAAAGTCGATCTGATGAGACATGTTAGATCAAAGTGTGGGCATCCTCAGCTTCAATCATGACAACATCTGTAGTGTCCATCAGTGGGAGCTGTAACCCAAATACTGAGTATATGATTTAATGTATGTGTCATTCAGTTGCCATGCACTTGGGGCAGTTAGCGGTTTCTTCCTTGCCCCAAAGTCTGAGGTTTGATGGAGTTGAGACCAGGTCAGGGAAAGCTCTTAATAGGAAATTGAGCTCTCCTTGGTTCATGGACCAAAGGTCATTCCATTTCAAGAAGTGCTGAAGAGGGTTCCCAGGTAATGTTGTAAATCTGGAAAGGCCACTGAAATTGGGGAGTCATGTCATAACGCCCCAATATATGACTTGAGTCAATGGCTTTAAACCACTTGTCCAGGTCCCTTGAGACTTCAGCTGTATTGTTCAAACCACTCAAGGTTTTGTCATATTTCTTCTCTAGACATTTAATTCTTTTATCTTGCACTGTTGGTATTTGCTTGCCCTTTGCTTGCCCTGGTCATAACTGTGATGTCATCCATGAAAGCTCTGTATGGTAGGTGTTTTGCACCTTCATTTGCTTGTGGAACCTTACACTGCATCATCCCTGCATTAAGCAGTAGGTTCATGGATGTTACGCAGGGAACTACTGGTACAGTGCAGTCTGCCACTATTCCTTTCTCTGACACTCTGCTAATTAGTGGTATAATTGCCAAATGTATTGGGCAACTTCAAGGAGTCTGTGTGTCCCATTTTCAGATTGACTACAGTACTTGTATCTACAACTATTTTTGATGTTATGAGTATTGGCTATCATTTTTTTCAATTTTTCTTCAACATGTATTGTAATGACTTCAGTATGAATGAAATGTCCCTTGGTGTTCTGGTCCTGGATTGTAGTATTGGTTCTCGATTGGATGGGGAGGGGGATGTTAGACATTGTTTCTTTTCACGTTAGATCATGGTTTTGGGATATGTAGGGTCTTCTTTTCTTATGACAGATTTACACTTAGTTTGCTTTTCTTGTTGGGTTCCTTTACAGTTTTTAGTCACCCTTCCCTTTGGCATTTGTGCTTATATATTCTGTTGGTTTTGGTACGTGAAAGTGAACTTGTACATCTAGTATCAGTTGGTGAGGGACACTAGGTAGTCCTTAGGTCCAGCCAAACTACTGATTCTCTTTCTTGGCTTCCTTCACAAGCTGGCTTATTGCTGCTATATGCACCCTTGATGTTTTGGGATACCACTTTTCTGAATGCTTGGCAGGCCAGTAGGAAATAACTGCGAGGCTTGACCACAATGGCCCAGAAGATCTTTCCCTCAGCATCCAATAATGATGATGATCTACCTGAACTGGTTCAGTCCCTCAAATTTTAGCTCCTTTGGAATGAAGCACCTTTCCGCTGAAGCCCAAGTCCTTGCTAGATTTTTCTTGTTCTGGATACTTGTTAGCAATCGCAATAGATGTATTAACAGCTTACCGCAGTTTTTGTACACTCTGTATGTCACAACTGTTGGACCTGGGGCTGAGCCTTCCTGATGATTGTTCTTACCTCATCAAGCTTGAAATTTGTCTGGTCAAACGGTTTTGATGATGAATCTGGTGGGAAATCAATTGGAAAATTATCCAATGGCATGTCTCGATCTGGGTCAGTCTGTACTTGCTTCTGCTTGATCCTGCGTACATGCCATATGGGCACTCTTTGGTTCCCTCTCTTTCTGGTCCTATGCTTCTCTTTTCCTGAGTGTTTCTATCTTTGGAAGAAGAATCTTTGGATGACTAAGATGAAGTAATCTCTTAAGAAGCATCTGTTGGAGCTCTCTGATCTTTTTCACTAGCCAGTGATGAAGCCGCCACTAACACTGCGGGCTTCATCCCTCCTTCCAAAGAAAAGATTTTGTCTTCTACTTGGCCAAATACAATGGTGTTTCACAGATAATTTCTCCACTCCTTGTCCTCGCATCTGGGGTGGAAATCTTTCTAACTTGGACAAGAGGTAGCATAGTGAAGAGGCCGGGCTCTGCATCCCACTTCTATTTGGTGCATAACTGCATACTACCCTCTTGTCTTGATAGGTCTTGGATTTTTAAGCTGATTGGATATTTTAGTCGGTCTTCAGGGTTCTCACTAGGCTTTTAGACTCTGGAGATGTCTTAAAACTCTCTTGCTCCAGAGTCTAATAGCTTTTCCGGAGTCTAAAGTGTTTTTTCCGGAGTCTAATCTTACATTTTTGTCACATTATTTGCGGTAAAACTCTTGAGAAAATACATAAAACTGGATACAAACAAGGAATAGGAAGTCAGAAACCTTTTAGAAATGAATATTGAGATTAAAATAGCAAGATAATCTTAAGAAGTATGTTGAAAAGTATACTTATAGGATATTTCTGATCTCACATGGGGGAGAAGTAGTCGCAATACTGCATAAAAAGTAGTCAAAATACCGCTACAAATACGGGTCTAAAAATTTCCTGGTGAGAACCCTGGTCTTCTGAAGGTACTGTGAGCTCATAGAAGATGATAGTCCTACTGTGTTTTGACATCAGCATTGAGTTTGTGGAAGAGGTCAGTTGAGAGTCCAGTCGGATGTCTTGGTAAAACATTGGACTGAGGTAGAGGCTTAATACATATTGAGTTAATTATATAGCTTTAACAACTAAATACTGTGGGTACCCATTTCAGTTCATTGCCTATCCTAAAATGATATGGGGATATGTGGTCATTCGTATCTGTATAGTCCAAAAGCGATACAGATAATATCTTTGGGTGAAATTTAAATGTCTGCCAAACAGACCAAGAATTTCTGAACAAGCTAGGAATAAGAGACATCACTGGGCTACTTTCTAAAAGTCAAAAGCTATATTTTACACCTGAGGGGGGGGGGTTCACTGTATATAAACCTTGACAGGGGGTACCTCTTTTAACATTTGGTATGGCATTGGATCCAAATTTTAGGATCTGGAATGAGAATGTCCCAAAATTATGACTTTTGAGGTATAACATTAATGGTTGGATTTTTCTACTTCATGGTACAAGAATGGTTATGGAGAATATGTTACCTCTCACTTGTAGTATGAGATTGGTCTAGTTTTTACAAATGTCCTTAATTTGAGGTTGTTTTTGGATCATTTTCCTAAAAGTTCTGCCTTCTTCTAGGGACTTTAGACATTTTGCATTCTCTTGGTCTTATATTTTTGGGATATTTGGTATGGCATTAGTCCTATATTTGGACATTTGGTATAGCATTGGTCTTATATTTTGATATTTGGTATGGCTTTTGGGCGTTATTTTGGTTGGTATGGGAACACATTGAAATTCGACAGATTGGTATGGGACCATAATGATATCTGAGGGCTCAGTCTAGGACCCCTACAGAATTGTGTTTTCAGTGAACCCCTGGGTATTTTACAGATGATACATTGACTTAATAATAACATTACAGATTTTCAACAAGATCCACGCCCCTTTTCAGAACAATAATCATTTGAAAGGTCATACCTTAATTTCTGACAATGTTTTTCTAAAACGTTCAATGCAAATATGTTCAAACTTTCTATTGCAAATATGTTCAAAATGAATGTTTACATTTAATATCTTTTATTTATTCATGAGAGACCAAGACTGGTCACTCAGAGGAAAGGCAATATGCATTACCGTTGAAAAAGGGCAAAAATAATGATTGATGATGTCATATTTTATGTAAATATGGTAATTTACATAATTATCGTATGTTATAATGTAGGATATTGTGATACCTTCAGTTTGGTACCATTAACAGCTTTCAACTCTCAAAACTGTGGAAGTTATTGTACTTTGAAATGATTAACATCAATTCTCTCACAAGAAGTGCCACGCCCCTTTCCAGTAACATAATCATGTGTCTGACAATGTTTTTTCAAAACTTTCCATTGCAAATATGTTCAAAATTAATGTACCTATATATTTAAATTCATTTATGTTCATGAATGACTAAGACTGATCACTCAGGCGAAAAGGTATAATGCGATACCGTTGTAAAAAGGCAAGAATTATGCTTGATGATGTCACATTTTATGCAAATGAGACAATTTGCATAATTATTGCATCTGATAATATAGGATACTATAATAGCTTCATTTTGGTACCAATTACAGTTTTCAATTCTCAAAACTGTGGAAGTTATTGTACTTTGAGATAATTAACATCAACTTTTTCAAAAATTCAAGATGGCCGACAAGATGGCCGCCAATGAATACCATGGGACAATATTTCATTCTGGGAACATGCAAAAATCTTTAGTATGGACCTTTAGGATTACAAAAATGTACATTAGAAAAATACATCTTTCGGGTGCACGGGGACCATACCTTCCTACTAGACTACGTGGTCTGCAATTTTGGTCTTACTACACCTACTTTTTTTCCTTTTGAATACCATATTTTTATGAAAGGAACCACCCCAGAGATCAAATATTTGTAAATGGCAATTCATACAATTTCCTTTTTTCTTAAACGTTCCCTATTCACGAAATAGGTGATTAAAATGGTCTTTGTATATGTCTTTGTATTGAGCCCACCGTTTTCTAATATTTTGTCACTTTTGTTTAATCATGTACGTTCATGGTACCATGTATCTGTGGGTTAAAGTATATCTGCTAGTGTTGCTGGCATATTAAACTAGCTACGCCATGTCAAAAACGTCAACATATGCTCACATGTACAATGATGTAAGCCAATTATAGTTTTCATTGTTTACAACAGATTTTAATTTGCATTGCGAATATGTCATTACACAGACTTGCGCTATATGACGGTGGTAATTAAAATGCCACCGTAAATTATGTTCTTCATTTGACATGATACACATTGTGCTTACGATTACAAATGCTAAATACATTACCTTTATTTTCATCGATTTCACTCTGTATAATGTCTGTTTCATTATTGATCACATTTTCCCGATCTTCATTTTCATCATCAATTTCAGTATCTTTATCTTCCTCTTCAAAGCTCTTTGTATGCCATTTTGTGCGTGTTATATCCTCTTCCCTTGATTGGTCCTTGATTGTGTTCTCATGCATCGCCTTTCTGTTATTTTGTTTTGATTTTAAATTCGACATCCCTTTTCTTGACTTTTGTCGTGGAGGTGGTCTTGATTTCGGTTTACATTGTACCGTCACCATGCCACCTGGTAGTGCTACATATATACATTCTTCATTAGAATTTGGGTCTCTATCGAAGTGCGGGTTTGGGGCAATAGGTGGAGCAAGTGGACTTGGAAGAGGTGGATTGTTATAATTTTCAAAGCTTGGTTGATTGCTTGGGGGCTGTTGTGGCTTTCTTCGAGGGGGTGAGAAAATGTGTCTATCGGGATTCAAATTACTGTAAATATGTTGGTATTTCTGTCCGGGGAGTTCCTTTGGAATTAATTCATGATTGAATTTCGGGCTAGGCTTAGTATAGGGATTGGTATGAGTATTACGGATCTTTTCCATTACTGTCTTGGCATATATATTTGGAGGAAGGACACTAGATTTGGACCTTTCATTTGGCAGTAGATGGCTAAAACTACTCCATCTTTGAGTAGGGTATGGAGGCGTTTTCATTTTGAAACTTGGCATATTTGTTTTATATTCATAATCTTCATCAATACTGTCTTTAACGTTTGATTGTTCCTTCACTTTGTCAACATTAAAATCCTTGTTGAAGGAGAATTCGACTTTATGTGTACTTTTAATCAGTGATGGAGTGGGTTTATCTTTGCTTTGTTCAGTGGTGGTAGCAATAGTAGTTGTGGTAGGGGCAATGGTGGTAGTAGTAGGAGCAGGAGTGGTAGTAGTTGTTGTTGAGGTTGTACTAGGGGGTGGTTTGAAGGTTGAGCGGCATGATATACTGATCGTTGTGTTCTGCTCCACAGCTGGAACCAGACAAATTAAAGAGTCAATGTGCAGGTAACAAATTCAAAGATATCATCTGACCCCAAGTTGACAAAGATACTAAATGTCTGTTATGCTGTGTTTATGATTAACATTGCTCAGGTTTACAGTTTTGATTATTTCTGCAAATGTGACCTTCTTCATATAAACCAAGGGAAACTGTAAGGGCAGCATTTCACCGAAATTCAACTACCTTCATCAAGGTACTTTATTCCCTGGGAATATTGCATTATTAATATGCATTAATTTACTTAAACAAGCAACAGGTTGCATGTTGTAATGGAGATTGTATAACGACAGACTGGACCGCAGTTTAACAGTTTGTCAGATCTATGCTACACATTATTGCATTGCAGAGGTCGATGAGATTGGTCGGGAGTATATGATTAAGTACTACTTTCGCACCAAACAAAGCAAATATAACCCCACTCCTAAATGAATATAAAACAAAAAAATAATATGAGCAGTTAGTGAATGATGAAAGTAAAGTAAAACGAAGGTGCATGCATGACGAACACAAAAACACAAAACCATCACCATGTGTTCAGAACAACACTTATAAAACTGGTAAACTAAGCACAGAGGGTAAAACGCTATACATAAACAAACAATATGTAGTTCTAAGTCATCACTTTTCGTAGCAATAAATATGTATGTACTATTATTCAACTGGCTATATCTTTTTCTAGAGCATACGTTTTGATTTTCCTGTCGCTATTATCAATGATCTTCAATGCAAGGGAAACCCCATGATTAGCCAACATAAAATCATTTTCATTCTATGAAACACATATGTTTAATTAGATTTGTTATTTTAATTTCATTTTCTTCAATTAAACAGAACTCGTTGCAATTTATACCTATTATCTCATTATACTATATTGGGGTCATCAATCATTGCTCAATTAAAGTTTGTTACCAAGAGATTTCAAGAAATGTATTTTCATTATGATCAAATAATTGGAAATATTTAACTAAGTCAAATTATTTAATTTTTTCAAATTATAGTTATGAACTTTTGACATTTAATTACTTGAGTAAATATTCAATTATGAATGTGAATTGCTATAAGGCGCTATTAATAAATTGTTCCTTGAATATGAATCGCTAAACTATTGAGGAAACTACTCATTAGAGGGGCTACCTTATTTTTGATGTGTTCTAAGTCACCCCGAAATAGCCTGACAAAAGTAAAGTCAGATACCGTTGTCAGAAATGGCGGACATAACCGTCGCTTCAAATAGATTTTCATGAACTATATGTTTAATAGAGCACCTAGACTAAACTACTTTGGAACAACAATCAATCAAAGTGTCTTAATACTCATTGTACAGTTAATAATGTTATACCAGTCTTTAATTTAACCGATCGAAATGAGGTACGGGACAACGAACACTGTAATTAACATATGCCGTTGTATTTCTAAATTACTCAAATTCAGATTCCGTTGTCATTGACGATATCGAAGACGCTATATTGTGGCGATTCACGACCCAACTTGATCGAAAATGGGATTTCATATTATACATTATCACAAGAGCTTAATACATGCACAGAATTAGCGACGATAAAATCTCATGAAATGAGGACCAAGTGAGTAAACAGTTGAAGCGACGGTTATGTCCGCCATTTGTGACAACGGTATCTGACTTTACCGTCTTCAGGCTATTCCGGTGTGTAAGTGTTAATTATTACATTTATTCTGTAAAATTAATATAATGGACTTAAAGATTTATATTTATTAATGAAGTACATTTCAAAATTTTAAAATTAGTAAATATTACCTTGGTATTTGAGCCAGAATCCATTTGAGACATCTTCATTGTTAGTTTCAAATTCAATGTTGATAGATTTGGCGATTGCCTGTGCTTTGGATGGTCTCTCCATGCCGCAATGGTTGTATCGCTGACCATTGGCGACAATTGTAACACGGTCATTCTTACAACCTACGAGAAGTTCAAAGAACAGTTATGTTGGTGTCACTGAAATTCAGTCCACAGCTCTTGACCATTAATTGAACTAGATATCTGGGCAGGGTGTTGGACATATGCATGTTTCCTTAGGCATTCGATCTTAAATTGGGGTTATGGGGTGTTTCTGTGTCTGTTATACTCCTAAGTCTTTTTTCTTTCGAAACTTGCGCTTACATATTGCATTATTGGCTACCTTGTACAACAGGTTCTGTAAATCATAATTTGTGTTACTGACTTACGTGCATATTGACTAGACTGATATAAGAGGCAAAGGGTTTTCGAGAAAAGGGCGCTGAATACTGGCAATATTTTTTACAATATAAAAAGTCATTAATTTATCTACCTCCGTCAGCATCATCCGTCATGGCAACATCCAACATGCTGAGAGACACAGTACTCTCCGACGTAAGGTTGCAAGAACACAGCGTGTTGCTGCTGTATTTACTTGGGTAATCAGGACTTTGGATGAAACCCACCGACCGTTCTGCCATAGTTGACTGGCAGATATCCTGTACCTGACCATTCACTGAAATGCATCAAAACACGTGCGATATTTTACAGAGTGCTTATTGGGATCATTCTAATGTATTTTACTTATTTGAAATATGTATTGCTTCAAAATTCTGTAATTGTTATCAGGGCTTTGTTGTAACAATTTATTTTCTCCAAAGCGATTTCGATTTTATAATCCATTATAGTTTCCAATAATTCATAGTGACCAAATGCCAAACTCCCCCTTTTACATTTTACTCAATTAGGATTGCATATTGTACGAGATGGAATATAACCACATTGAATTATAATTTCTCATTTTGATGAATTTGCTTTGGAAATAACTTCAATGGTTTTTCAATTATTTATATTTTGACTCACCTCTGACACATTTGAATTCCACATACATGTAGTCGCTGAATCCTCTACAGCTGTCTGTGTTAATATATTGTTGCATTACATCCAGTCTACACTGAGACCTACCCATACATAAAGCCATTGTATCTGGCATGTTGCACGCCTTGTCATCTGAAATATATTCATATCTATACATTGAGACCTGCCCATACATAAAGTCATTGTATCCGGCATGTTGCACGCCTTGTCATCTTAAATATATTCATATCTATACATTGAGACCTGCCCATACATAACGCCATTGTATCTGGCATGTTGCACGCCTTGTCATCTGAAATATATTCATATCTATACATTGAGGCATGCCCATACATAACGCCATTGTATTCGGCATGTTGCACGCCTTGTCCTCTGAAATATATTCATATCTATACATTGAGACCTTCCCATACATAAAGCCATTGTATCTGGCATGTTGCACGCCTTGTCATCTAAAATATATTCATATCTATACATTGAGACCTGCCCATACATAACGCCATTGTATCTGGCATGTTGCACGCCTTGTCATCTGAAATATATTCATATCTATACATTGAGACCTGCCCATACATAAAGCCATTGTATCTGGCATATTGCACGCCTTGTCATCTGAAATATATTCATATCTATACATTGAGACCTGCCCATACATAAAGCCATTATATCTGGCATGTTGCACACCTTTTCATCTGAAACATATCCATATATATATATTGAGACCTGCCCATACATAAAGCCATTGTATCCGGCATGTTGCACGCCATGTCATCTGAAATATATTCACATCACTATGCATTCCCGGTATGTTTCACTTTCCTTTCCGATTTTAAATGTTTGCACAAATGGCACAAGGCCAAAATCAAAACAAGAGTTGGGACCATGTAATACTTCTATGTCAAGTCCATGGCCATGAAGTGGCACAGATGGCATTGGACAGTTCTTCAAAATTCTTCTTCGAGACATATGTCCGTTCGGAATATCAGGGACATTTTCTTAAGTAGGGGATGGCCTTAATCATCGTTGTATGTCATGCTTAGAGATATAACAAATATATTTGTACATACCTACAGTACAACCACAATCCTCATCTGAGTACTGACATTGGTAGCTCCGGACTCTCTTTACTTTAAGGCCTGATCTTAAGATCTGGATGACAGTACCTGAAAATGCAAAAAATGTTTTCACTTAATTAGACTGAATTTGCAAAATCTAAAACTACATTAGAACATTAGATGACTTCAAGATGCGTGTTTTGCTGACTGACACAAATATTCTGATGTTACTTACAATGCAAATGATAATGCTCTGATTTACTTCCAAGAATAAGATTTGGTATGTGAAAAATGGGCCAAACATTGAAAGGGTTAAACGACTTTATGAATTCTTATGAAATTCATTATAATTATGTCACCACCATAAGTGGTGACAAATTGTTACGGTCTCCATTTTTGTGACGGCATCTGGCGTTCGGCGTCTGTAACAAATGGCAGGTTGTGACATTTTGCATGTCGATGCCTTGTTATATATATATGTACCAGGTATAATTAAATCATTTGGATTTATAAAAATCGCTACTAAAGTAAATGCAGACTTACCTACTGGGCACTGTGCACTGACAACAGGGGGGCCTGCACTACCCCAGCAGGCATAACGTAACTCCACCTCTGTAAAAGGGTAGCATAGATACATCACAACATGGAATTTGACAATCTTCAAGAAATAGTGATTTATCATTTGATTGTGATTTGGAAAAAATGACACAATGAGTTTGATATGCAGCAATAAAAGTTGAGATGAGAAAAAGTTGGCTGTTTCATTTCTTAGTGGTATTGAATTGATCAATAAGATGTAATGCTAGTGCAAGCCGCATGCGTCCAAGTAAGAGATGAAACCTTACCTTCCTCAGCAATGCATAAATCCACTAAAAGATATCCACTCAGTAACAGCCACAGACACTTCATGATTCAAAACAAACGTTAAACAACAATAATCTAATCTCAATAAAACTAGCAAAATTTGTCATTCCGCTTTGGGCAATCCGACAATCTTATTCTATCCGTTGATGGAAATTGAGTTCGTGTATAAGGAAAACAGTCTGTGATGTTCGACTTATAGTTTGTTTTTAATTAGTATCAGCGTCATCATGTATTGAGAAATCTTTGATATCAACAAGCTGTGACATTACCACCTTATGTCACATGGAGAAGGAATGCTTACCTACACACATACCACACCCTCTGTTAAGACACTATACGTAATGCAGTTTCAGGGCCAGGTTCAGGTCCATTTTGAATATCAAATGTTTTGTTGTATAACTCGGTATTTTTTAATCGTAGTTTTGCATGATTGATGTCAAAATAGTGACATCACAAACTAAAAGAGAAATATTTCTTGGTGGTTAATATATTGGAATGCCAAACAGGTGTATCAATTAAGTCTGTAGGTCAGCAACCTGATATGAAGCGATTAAAACACAGGTCAATTAATATAATTGCATCTATTGAGATTCCTTTTTGTGTGTTTGCCCCTGCTGGATTTCAACGGCCGTGTACTTGTAAAAGAATCAACGTATATACGGTATTTGATTCTTTTTTATATGTTCGCCCCTGGTCGATTTTAACGGCCAAGAACTTGTAAAAGAATCAACGTATATATTTGATTCTTTTTTTGTATGTTTGCTCCTGGTCGATTTTAACGGCCATGAACTTGTAAAAGAATCAACGTATATATTTGATTCTTTTTTGTGTGTTTGTCCCTGGTCGATTTTAACGGCCATGTACTTGTAAAAGAATCAACGTATATATTTGATTCTTTTTTTTGTATGTTTGCCCCTGGTCAATTTTAACGGCCATGAACTTGTAAAAAATCAAAGTACATATTGGGTTATTTTTTGTGTGTTTGCCATGAACTTAAGGATTAAAGTATGAGTTTTGCACTGCTGTTTCTCATATGGAAATACTGGAACTATGTTGGTAGCAATATCAACATACATGCTGTTGTTTCATGATGCATTTAAAGTTGATATTATGGCTCACAAATAAATTGTATAACTTAATTGAAAAAACCTTGGACATAACCATTTTCTGCATTTTACTTAATGAATCGTTGAATAACTGGTTGATTTTGTAGAGTAAAATAGATATCACTTCAGTACGTTGTGCATTTATATCTTTAACATGCTAATGCCAGTGGAAAGTCTCGATAGAGGGCGGAAAATTCATTAGGTTTAACGTATGCATTCAAGAGATAGTTACATGGAATCCTTGAACAAATTCCACCGAACAAAACATATGGTTGGAGACTTTAGAGGAGTTTACCATAGCTTGGTGACCATTAAAACATTTTACCCTATATCTTACTGCTATAACAAACTAACCATGGACCGGACTTTAAATTTACGGGAAGACACCAACCCCCCTCTATCGTCAGATTTCTTAGTTAATTCTAGTAAAATTACAAAAAAAATTAAATTAAAGTATGAGATAGAATCATAATGTTTTTATTAACTTTTTCCTTTTCTACAGGCAGGGTGGGAGGGGGGGGGGCGTTATCTTACGACGCATTTATATCTCAGACACTACTAGTAATAAAGTAAAATAAATAAAAATATGTTGGTATCATTTTTACCATTTAGTATTTTCTGACTTACAGATCAACAATCATACCCGCAATATTAGAGAATTTGAAAGAAAACGGCTTCACTTAGAATGTGAAATGAAAGTGAAGCTATTTTCTTAAAAAATCCACCCATAACGCGGTTGTTAGAGCATTTATCTGTGGTTGTATAGCTTTATTAGTTTACATGGCGAAACTTTTGTAATCCAGATTCAATTGAGTTTTGCTTAAATCGGAAGTTGTCGAAAACGAAAGAATTTTGGAATCCGATCTTGAATGACGCTAACTGCAATGAGAGTCATCCAGCTGTGGATCTCGATACTTTTTTAATTATTTGAAGTTTCTCGAATATTTCTTTGTATTTATTTTGGTTATTGCTTTCCTTATAAGAACAGTAACATAAAACAAAAAATATTATTTGTATTTAAATTAAAGTCTTCATTTTATCTAAAAATAATCGTTAGATAAGTGTGTACCTCGGAGTTTTTTCTAGTCCAGAAAATATCAATTGATGACAGTGAATTTAGTGTTGTGCTTTTTTACATCGTATTTGTGACCCTCTTCATATTATTCAGAAATAATCGCACCTAATCAAATTGGACCTTCGAGTTATGATCTAATTCAGAATAGAATTTATAGCCCATAAGTATTTGTCATTCATGTCTTATCTTATCTTTGAGTTATAGATATAGTAAATTAATGAAATTGACACATGACGTGCACGGACCTAGGGACAATAAGAGAATTACGGGCTAATATCACCTTTAAACTTTAATACCCGCCTAAGTAAAAAAGCTAGGCATGTGTTTCATATATCAATTTGACGTTTTTATTTATTTGCGTTTCACCGATACTATTTTGACCGGTTCTTTGAAATAAGGATAACTTTTAAAAAAATCACAATCCCACCTACGAATAAGGTCAGTTTAGCTTTTGTTGATATTCAATATCGGTTATGTGTTAGGGACAAGAAGAGTGACAGTTATTTAAGCTGGTCGTCAAAATGGAGTCGGTGATCAATTGCGTAATATTCCTTTCTATAGGATTGCTACTTTTCACTTCCATTGGAGCAAAACCTTCGTGTAAGTATAGCTTTTAGTATTGTTATTCACTTTTTTAACATTTCAATTTGATGAAGCTGTTTGGTTTGGCCACTTTCGAAAGATTTCATAGTCAAAATTGGGGCTTGTTTTATTGTAGTTATACACTTTTTAATCTTCAAATAGATATTTGTGAAAAGAGCCTTGCAACTGAACCTTCTTTCAGAAAGTCAAGAAATATTTTGCCTACGCATTGATTGAACTAGAAATGAAAAATGTTTACCCGTTTTATAGGTGACTACCTATTAGTGAGGCAAGATTCTTCGATTGCGTACAGTAAAGAATTCAAGAGTAAATTCGGGTTTCCAAATTGTTCCGAGCCAATAGGTAGTAGCAACGACAACAGTTTCACCCAGACACTTGAACAATGTTTTGCATTTGCCTGTCAATCAAAAGCTAATGTAGTGTATTTCGAGGAAAAGAGAAGCTGT